TTTTCTTCTAGTCCAATTTTAATATCGGAATTTACACGAACTTTATTGGAACATTTTATTAAACAAATAGAATGTCCAGCATTTTTAAGAACAGATTCAACAAATGCATCGATGGGTGATAGTGGAAGTTTATTTAAAATTGGACAGAGTGTTGCAAGTATGTTATTGTAATGTAGTAGAAGGAGAATAATAAGATTTTTTTTAATGGAAATTTTCTATGAAACGATATGATTGTGTTTTAACTAAGTTATTTGAAACTAATTTTACTGTATATCTGAAGAATATATCACAAGATGAATTGAGTTAAATTTTCTATTTAATGATGTTCGTTAAATTGGAATAATGAGTAGAGTGTGTAAAATTTTTATTGATCACTATGTGTAATAACTTTGTGTATATTGAAGACAATCGTGATTAACAGTAGACTTTTTTAAAAAGTTAAAATTTCTCTATCATAGCATTGCGTGTGAGTATTTCATTTGATCATACATTCTTATTAAAGAACTCTTTTATTTACAAATTGTGACTAGAATATTAAATGATTTTGTTATCTAAAAGATTCATATATTGAATATTGTCAGTTTTTGAAGTATAGAAAAGCTATTAAACCTATTCTCGATAATATTGAATTCATTAAAAGTAGTTAAAGCGAATATCATAGCTAAAGTTTTCATTTCGCATTGATTAAATTATTATGTAAAAAAATACAGTTCAATTTCTTCGAAAAACTGAACATTCATTATATGCTCGTCATCAATATCGCATATACTATTTGTCAAATAAACTAATAGTTCAATAGAAAATTTGCTATACATATTTGATTTCAATGTAATACCTTATCTTTACTGTACTATAGGTAGTCTATGGTCTGTAGTTACACTTGGCTTGAGCTCATCACCAGCATCAACAGCTACCGAAGGAACAACTATATCAACTGAATATACAAGTGATCTTCAAAACAGACATCTAGCAAATCAAAGTATTCATTTACTTTTGATTCTAAGCAATCATTTTACAAGTGATGTACATCGTAATCCTTATCGATTAGCTTTATTACATTTTACTGATACACAAGGTAAAGAAATGAAATCGATATATATATGATAACATCTTAAATTGATTTCTATTACTATTCTAGATAGTCCAACAAATTTACCTGATTCTGAACCATTACCTTGGTTTTCTGTTGATTATCGTTGTTTATATGATGTTCTTTGTCAAACAGTACATACAGATCAAAGTACATTGTTACTTTATATGTTACTTCATCGTAATCAACATTTTAAAGCTTATGTCATATCACGAAACAATATTGATCAAATGGTAAAACATTTTCTTGTACAAAATTTCATATTTTTCTTTTTGTTTATTTCCAGGTATTACCAGTTCTTCGAGTTATTTACACAGCAACTGAACATAATTCACATCATATATATATGTCATTGATTATTTTATTGATTTTATCTGAAGATGACTATTTTAATAAATCAATTCATGATATTAAATTAAAAAAGCTTAACTGGTAAAGAAACAATATACTTAATAAAATAAGATTAGAAAAAGTTTTAATCTACAATAAATATTGGAATATATCGGGTATAGATAATTATATAATACAGTCAAGAATAGAACTATTTGAGCCTAATAAAAATTGAAATGAAATTAATTAGGTCATCTATAGAATAGTTGTTAACATGTCTTTTAATTATCGTCTAAAAAAATCTTTATAAAATGTTTATGAGTAGATATTTACTAATGTAAATGGTTTTATAATAAATTAAGCGAGTAAATCTTTTCTCCGGAAGGTTATACAATCTATTTTTTTCATTCAGAATTAACTTGCCATACCTTAAAAGTTCAAGAATAACAAGAGAATTATCATAAATAATTAGAGAGTATGCCTAACGATATTTTATTCATTAGAAAGGTTCATAGGGTACTCTTTCCGGATCGTAACCATTCTATTAAATTTTACTATCTACGATAAGAGACATATGGTGAGCACAAACCACAAAGTTTTGATGACGTTTCGAGTAATGCAAGTATTGCATTTACCGCGAACGATTTGGTTAGCTGAAAGAATCACCTTGTATGCTGAATATAAGTTATGAGATCATTTTATGTGTAAAAATTCAAGTCAGCATTATGTCTTTGATATATCTCTTGTAGAGTCTTACAGGACATCAAGCACTACAAGGAATAGCAGTTGCTTTTTCTAATTCCCATGTCTCATGGATGTACGACAGCATAACTATCAGAACTTCAGTCATGGGCAGTATATTGCTACTATAAGATGTAGAGACTGCTTGTCTTACTAGAGTATGAGGCAGTAATAAAGGCTTGTAACTGACACTGTTCATAAATGAA